CGGGAGCGGCCACTGCACTCCAGTCTGGGTGACAGAGTGAGACTTCAACTCAAAAAAAACCCAAAACAAAACAAAACGAAAAACCAAAGAGACCTGGAGGAGGCACTGGGAGGACCGTAGAAGGATGTGGCTCACGGGCTCCACCCTAGCACCAAAAGCCCTTGCCAAAGTCATGTAAGGACAGAAGAGAAGGCCTCTTCATGAGTTAGGACATCTTTGTTGACCTTGGAACATGCAATTTTGGTGAGGGCCAGTTATAGTGGTCAGGGTGGCAGGGGGTAGAGAGGTGAAGAATTAGAATTTGGAGGTGAGCCAGGTGCAGGGGTTCACGCCTGTAATCCCAGCACTTTGGGAGGCTGGAGGATCACTTGAGCCCAGGAATTTGAGACCAGCCTGGGCATCACAGTGTGACCTTGTCTCTGCAAAAAACAAAAAAAAATTTGTGGGGCATGGTGGCGTGTGCCCATAGTCCCAGTTGCTCAGGAGGCTGAGGCAGAAGGATCACCCGAGCTCAGGAGGTTGAGGCTGTGGTGAGCTGTGATTGTGACACTGCACTCCAGCCCGGGTGACACAGTGAGACCCTGGCTCAAAAAAAAAAAATTGGGAGCAGCTGTTTTCAACAGTAATGTAATGTCAAATGAAAAAGCTGATATTACTGGTGGTTCCGAACAGAAGAAAGGTCTCAGGCTGGAAGAGGCCTGGAATGGTTTAAATGCGGGAGCCTGGAGAGGGGAGGCTGGAGGGCTAGGGAATGGGGGTGAAGGTATGAGTAGATAACTTGAAGGGGGGACGGTCAGGCACTGAGGAGGGTCCACTGAAGAAGAAGGCGAGTGGATGGGCTTCTGAACCGAGAGCAGGGAAGTGCCAGGAACCTGTTTCTCTGAGAAGTAGAAGCTGAAGTCATCTGCTGAGTCATGGAGGAGGAGAGAAGGAGCTACAGAACAGGCTGAAGGTTTGCAGGAGCTTCTGGAGAGGGTGGGGGAGTGAGCTGAGGAAGAACTGGCCATTCGAGGACTAGCTGGGCCCGGAGGCCACACGCTGAGGGGCCCCCATCTGCCTGGCCCCTGGGTTTTCTCTGGTGGCCCTCAGCAGTGTGGGCCACGAGCTGAGAAAAGAGAGGTCAGACCACCCAGAGCAGACAGTGGTCAGCCATGGCCAAGGGACCAGGGGATAGGGAGCCCAAAGAAGCACGTGCACAGCTGGGCTCGGTGGCTCAGCCTGAAATCCCGCGCCTTGGGAGGCCGAGGTGAGTGGATGGCCTGAGCCCGCGGGTTCGAGACCCGCCTGGGCAACTTGGCAAGACCTCATCTCTACAGTAAATCAAAAATCAGCCGGGTGTGGTAGCA